GAGCTGCTTCTTGCCACCTTTCATGGCTATTTGCTCAGCTTCATCCAGACGGTGCTGCAGGTCTTTAATGGTTTGTTCCATGTTCTTCTTCATCCTCTCCAGGTGAGAGCTAGTATCCTGCTCCTTCTTCAGCTCCTCAGCCATCATGGCTGCATCTGTAATGGCCTTCTTTGCCTTCTCCTCAGCATTGCGGTTCTCCTGTATGGCCTCCTCCATCTCATTCTGCAGGTGCAGGAGGTCCGCTTCATGCTTCTTTTTCTGGTTGATCAGGCTGGTGTTCTGGGAGTGCAGCAGTTGCATGCGCTCTGTAGCGTCAGTCAGCTCCTGTTCGGCCAGTTTCCGACTTCTTTCTGTCTGCTCAAGGGCGGCCCTCACTTCCTCCAGCTCGGCCTGGATCAGGTTGTGTCGGCGTTCCAGGAGAGCAATGTTCTCTCTCAGGTCATCGTTACCATGCTGGGCATCATCCAGCTGCAGTTGAGTGTCCTTCAGGAATGCCTGGAGGGTCTTGAGCTGTTTCTGGGCATCAGCTGCCTGCCTGTTAGCTTGGCTGAGCTGGATCTCCATCTCATTGAGGTCACCTTCCATCTTCTTCTTGACTCTTAGGGCCTCATTGCGGCTCCTGGTTTCAGATTCCAGAGAGGATTGAAGCGACTCAAGCATCCGTTGGTAGTTCCTCTTTGCCTGCTCCATTTCCTCATCTTTCTCAGCCACCTTGCGCTCCATGTCGGCCTTCATTTGGTTGAACTCCAGCTGGGCTCGCAGTATCTTGCTTTCCTCATGCTCCAGAGAACCTTCTGCCTCCTCCAGTGCCGACTGAAGCTCTGCCTTTTCTTGCTCGAGCTGCTTCCGAATCTTCTCAAGTTCATGAGCACTCCTGCCGCCCTCTCCAAGCTGGTCAGTGAGGTCGGAGATCTCCTCTTGGAGGTTTTTGTTCTCTCTCTTCATTGTTTCAAGTTGATCCAGGGCCTCCTCATAAGCGTTCTTCAGTTTGAAGAGTTCAGTGCTCAGAGACCTGGCTTCCTTTTGAGAGCTCTCCAGCTCACACTGTGACTCCTCAAACTTTTGCTTCCACTCTGCCATGACTTTGTCAAAGGCTCTTTGCTTTTTGTCCAGGGCTGCAGATGCAGCATTGGATCTCTCGAGGTCCAGCATCAGGTCTTCGATCTCATTTTGGAGGCGGTGCTTGGTCTTCTCAAGGGAGGAACACTTTGCATTCACAGCCTCGATGGCCTCCTCTGCCTCCTGCAGTCTCTGAACCAGCTTCTTCTTAGCTTCTTCCAGTTCCTCTGTTCTTTGGATCCCATCAGTTTCATATTTTGCCCTCCATGCTGAGACCTCTGTGTTGGATTTGGACAAAGCTCTCTGCAGCTCAGCCTTGGCCTCCTGCTCCTCTTCAAACTGCTCTCGGAGCAGATCACAGTCGTGACGAGCAGACTGTACGGCATGGGCGAGGGCATTCTTTGCCTTGACTTCCTCTTCCAGCTGTCTGCGTAGATCTTCTACCTGCTGGTTGTACGAGTTCTTCCCTCTGGTCAGCTGTGATATCAGACACTCCTTCTCCTCCAGCTGCCGTCCAAACTCACCATTCTCAGTGAGCAGCTTGGCTCGCTGGGTAGTCAAGTCATTGATGGTCCGTTGAGCTTCCTCATATTTACTCTTGTACTCATTCATGTTGTCTTCCATTGTACGACACATCTTTTCCATGTTTGACTTGGCCTTCACCACACTCTCCATGTTAGAACACAAGTCATCCACCTCTAGCTTCAGTTCACTCTTTTCCTTCTCCAGCTTCTGCTTGACACGCTGGAGGTTATCAATCTGTTCGCCTAGTTCGGCAACGCTGTCTGCATGTTTCTTCCTCAGAGAGGCAGCGGTGGCCTCATGTTGGAGGGTAGATTCCTCCAGTTCCCTACGCAGCTTCTGAAATTCAGCATCTCTCTTTTTATTCATTTCCACCTGTGCTGATGTTGCTCCACCTGCCTCCTCCAGGCGCTCACTGATGTCCTCCAGCTCTCGAGAAAGATCAGAGCGCTGTTTTTCAACTTTGGCCCGGGCTGCACGCTCAGCATCCAGCTCCTCTTCTAGCTCCTCAATTCTCGCCTGGTTTTCTTTCAGTTTCTTCTGGAGCTGAACTGAAGCTACCTGTTCGTCTTCTAGTCTTGAATTTATTTGGACAACCTCAAAGTCTTTTTTCTTTAGCTTTTCCTCCAACTGCTGCTTATCATTTTCTAAATCCATCAAACTCTCCTGGTTCAGTTTCAGGTCTCCTTCGAGCTTCCTCTTTGAGCGCTCAAGATCCATCCTGACTTTTTTCTCTTGCTCCAATGAGCCCTCCAAATCATCCACCTGTTGCTCCAGCTTCGCTTTGGCTTTGGTCAAGCTGTTGGCTTTATCTTCTTCACTCTGAAGATCATCCAGTGTCTGCTGGTGAGCCTCCTGTAGTGCCTTCTTCTCTTTGGTTAGCTTCATGATGTTTTCATCTTGAGATGCCATCTCCTCTGTCAGGTTTTTCACCTTGTTCTCTGTGGCATGTTTCTCTTTTTCCACTTTAGCCAAGGTAAGCTCCAGGTCATCAATATCTTTCTTCAGCTCAGAGCATTCATCTTCAAGCTTCCGTTTCTTAGCTGTGAGATCTGCATTCAGCTCCTCTTCGTCTTCCAGTCTTTCTGTGATCTCTTTCAGCTTGGCCTCCTGTTGAATCTTGCTCTTTATAAGCTGTTCACAGCGCTCTTCAGCGTCCGTTAGTGTATCCTGCTCAGACTGAATCTGCAGAGTCAGATCGTTCTTCTCTTGGAGAATAGTCACTATTTTCTCCTCTAGTTCCTTCCGTCTTGTTTCTGATTTCTCCAGAGCTTCTTTCAACTTGTTGAACTCATCCTTTATGTTGGCCATCTCCTTCTCAGTCTCAGCGCTCTTCAGCAGGGGTTTGATCTTGAAGAAGAGCTTCATCCAGGGCCAATTCTTTACACCCAGAAAAGAGCGAAGGTTCCACTGGATGACCATCAGGGCATCTCTGCGTTCAACAAGCTTAGCAAACTGTTCCCTCATGATGATTGCCCGGGCATTAGCCTGGATCCGGGTGATGATTCGAGAGAGTTGCTCATCTCGCATCTCCTCCAGTGTCCCCAGCAGGCCAGCTTTAAAGAAGACTTTGGTATGGCCAAACTTGTACTGACTGTGGTCGATGTCTATTGATCCCAGCAACTTTTCAGCACTTTTCTTGCTGTCAATAAACTGGCCTTCAGGGATAGCAGAGGCATTCAGAATCCTGTACCGTTGTTTGAAGTCTCCATAGAGCACCCTGTTTGGGAAACCCTTCCTGCAGATTCTGATGCCTTCCAGGACACCATTACAGCGCAGCTGGTGCATCACAAGGCAGTTGTCCATGACCCCTGGAGTTTTCCTCTCATTGGGAATCAGACAGCGGACAAAGTGGGGGTGTGTGGTCTTCAGGTTGTTCATCAGCTTGTTCAGGTTTTCCCTGTGAAGTGCAGACACAGTCTGGAATGAGGAACCTTTCTTCTTGGCTCCTTTACCTCCTTTGTCACCACTGTCAGCTGCTGAATAGCTTGAAAACAGAACACTGAGCAGCTTAACAGATGATTTTTGGTAAAGACCGACCACAGTTTCATTCAGGGGGTCTTTGTTTTTGACCAACCAGTTGCCGATGTTGTAATCTACTGTGCCAGCATAGTGAACCAGGGCAAAATGAGCTTCTGCTTTCCCCTTTGCAGCCCTCGGCTTCTCAAACATTTTGTTCTTGCCCAGATGATTATCATAGAGCTTGGACTTGAAGGTTTGATCACTTGCTTTTGGAAACATGCATTCCTCTTCCAGAATCGACAGGATCCCCAGCGGCTTCTCAATGAGGTCAATACAAGCTTGTAAGTCCATCCCAAAGTCAATGAACTCCCAGTCAATACCTTCTTTTTTGTACTCTTCTTGCTCCAGGACGAACATGTGATGGTTGAAAAACTGCTGCAGTTTCTCATTGGTGTAGTTAATGCAAAGCTGCTCAAAAGTGTTGAAATCAAAGATCTCAAATCCAGCTATGTCCAGCACTCCTATGAAGTACTGACGATGCTGTTTTGTGTCCAGGGATTGGTTGATTCTCACCACCATCCAATTGAACATCTTTTCATACACTGACTTCGCCAGAGCACCAAGGGCGTAGTAGACTTGGTCCACACTTTGGCCTTTGGTGACATATTCATTTCCTACCTTGACTCTGGGATGACACAACCCTTTGATGAGGTCAGCAGAGTTCAAGCCCCATTAGGTAGGCCGTTTTATCCGCAGCCTCTGTCCCATCGGGCTCTGCCTGCTCCTCACGCTGCTTCTGTTTGAACTTCATATTGCCGTAGTGCATTATGGCGCCCGTCAGTTTATAGACACCCATCTTCTCATCTGGAGTGAAGCCGAGCACATCGAAGGCACTGTCAGTGGCCATCAACTCCTCTGAGTCGTTGATGGAGGCAACCGTTACCTCTCCTTGGGAGATGTAGGAGTAGTCGTACGGGTTGTTGGTGATAAGCAGCATGTCCAGCAGCTCAGGTTTGTGGTTGGTCATCATCTGGTAGAAGATGTGGTAGTTCCTCTCAGCCTTGAGCTGAAAGGTGACACGTGACTTCTCCAGCAGGTACGTCTCTATGTCAGCAGACGACAGCTTGCCACTCGTACCGAAGTGAATTCGGATGAATTTTCCAAAACGAGACGAGTTGTCGTTTCTCAACGTTTTGGCGTTGCCGAAGGCCTCCAACGCAGGATTAGCCTGGATGATTTGATCCTCCAGGGTGCCCTTGCTGGTGTCTTTTTTGACACCAGCGACTGCAGCGATGCTGGCAAAGTACTGGATGACTCTCTTGGTGTTCACAGTCTTTCCAGCTCCAGATTCTCCGGTGATGAGGACAGACTGGTTCTCTCTGTCAGTCAGCATGTACTGGTAGGCATTGTCAGAGATAGAGAAGATATGAGGAGGAGCTTCAGTTCTCTTCTTCCCTCTGTAAGCTGCTACCACCTCAGAATCATAGACTGGCAGCCCCTTGTAGGGGTTGACAGTCACACAGAAGAGCCCAGAGTAGGTGTAGATCATCCAGGCAGCGTAACGCTCTTTGAGGTTAAACAGCACGGCCGGCTCGTGGAGGAAGGTGAACATCGCCATGTCTTCAATTTTATCGAATTTTGGTGGATTCTGGGGGTGGATGTCCAACTCCTTCACAGTAACCGTTGTTCCATCCTCCTTCTTCACAGTCACCTTCCCTCCGTCTTTGCTTTGGATTTGTCCCTTCATATATTCCACTTTATCGTCGACTACAAAGCATTCGGTCTTGATGTCAAAAGCTCTAGTCTGGGCCTCAAGACGCTCCTTATCCGACTTCCTGAGGTAAGGAGCAGCCTTCCCGAACTCCGCCATCAGAGCATCACCCATGGTTGAGGGTGGAGGTTCACGGCAGTCAGATGAGAGATCGGAGAGTCTGACAGGAGTTTCTCTAGTGACTCTGGTGCAGAACTGCAGACTCTTCACAGCAGGCGGGTGTTTATAAAGGCTCCCTGAGGACCAAATTAGGACACTAAATTTGTCCCGGGATGTGAAAGCACCATGAGGGCAGTTTCAGGACCTTTAGCTGTTAAAGTCCATTTTAGGAAAAGGAGTGTCTCACTGCTTATCTGCCCACTGATAGGGACTCCTGTCACCTCTGCATTTAGAAAACTGTATCCTCACAGGACAAGTTCTTCACTTCATCCTCCATTTCTTCTACACTTTAATTATTCACCTGCAGCATTTTAAAAGCAAAACTTGCTCTAGTATTTCCTGCCCTTTTAATGACTCACTTCCTTTGTATACAAACAATTATTCATGACTGATTCTCAATCAATAAGTGGTTCCTGATTGGAAAGTTATTATACATTCAGACCAAGCCTCAGTATTGTACTTCACTCAATTCACTTTCTTTATCTGTACTCAAATATCTTCATTTTAACAGATTACTGAGTCCAAAACATATTTTCTTAAAATAAAAAATACAAAAGATATTATTCAGCCAGTTTGTAAAATAAATAGAACAAGTGTTTCCTTTTATATTAATGTTTGTTTTGTGTGTTCTTGGTGTATCCCTCTTTTCCTTCTTTCCATTTATCTTACTCTTATTAAATTAAATGTAATTTCTAATCTTTTTTGTCTTGTGTTCTCACTGTCTGTACTGCTCTGGGATATGTGTGGTGTTCATGCTTGCAACAAAATACAAAGCTAATGTCATTTTTTAAGATTATTTTGATAAAATGCATGAATTTAAATCTGTAAAGTCAAGCAGTGGCTCCAGGGGCGGATCTATAGAGAAACATTAAAGAGGGTGTCCATATAAAAATATCTGCTGGTTTAATCACAAATAATCACATCCAGGCATGGGGAGTAACAGATTTAATCTAATGTAATTACTGTTACAGAAAAGACAATGTAATCAGACTACAGTTACATTTAGTAAAAAAAAATAATTTATAGAATACATGATATTTTATTTCTCTTGAATTTATTCACATATCTGGTATTGAGGTAATCCAAAAGTAACAGAAAGTAATCAAGTTGCTTTAATATTGTGATACTTGGATTAGGTTACTGACTACACTGTTTAATAGGTCATATAAATTGTATCAGATTGCATTTTTAAAGTAATCCTCCCAACTTTGATCATGTCAGTATCTGAACACATTTTAACTCACAAAAATATTTAAATTGTAATATCTAAAGGCAGCATTAGGAATCAATACATTGATTTATTTCCAGTATTCAGACAATTACAAATACAGTCTTTATTTATTGAACTTAAGCCAATCAGTTCAATGCGTTATTTATAAAAAAAAATCTAAATTAAAAATGTATATCTGACACCAGCCTGGGATAAAGCCCCTGTAGATCCGAGTGGCTCCAACATCAAACACTTAAAGTTTTGATTCCATATTTGTTTTTTTAATTCTGTTTCCTCGCTGTTGGCTGTACACAGTCTCTGGTCTGTCAGGGTGGATTTTGAATTGGATTTTGCAGCAGTCGTGTTGGATGTTTGAAGAGTGTGTTCTGAACGACTGAAGTGTTTGTGTCTCTTTATCTCTGACAGTCGGGACTCATCAGCTGTCAGCCTCCAAATAGAAACCAGATACTCTGGGATCAGTTTTTATCAGACCCACAAGTAGACGACACTTCAGACTAAAACAGCACGAACTCTTCTGACAGAGCTCGCTATCAGACCTCAGAGCTTCTTCATACTGATTTGAGGACAATGACATGGCTGATAGTTCTAAACATACTGTCCAATTATATTTATTGTTTATTATTGACTATGCATCTTGCTAGCATAACGTTAGCTCTGTTACGTTAGCTCTCTGTCTCGTAGCATAATGTAAATGCAAAAGGTTATCAGCTGAAAGAGAAATCCATATCTTGCATCTGACAATAAACAGTTTAAAAGCCCTCTGGGATTATCTTGGAATGAAAACTGTTTTTAGAGACACGTGGTTCTAACAAACAAACACATGATCTTACAGAATATGATTCTGTAGATTAACAGCAGAATATAAAGTAGTTCAAATATCAGCAGCTGTAAAATAGAACATTACTGCAGTAACGCACTAGAGTACGAACACATTACTGCAGTAACGCACTAGAGTACGAACACTTTACTGACTTCAGTTGAACCTTTTTAAGTTTTAACTTCAGCTTACAATTTTTTTTTATTTTATATTATTAGTAAAGATTAATTACAGCAGTGAAATATTCAGTCTGATATAAAACAGTTTTTATTTAATAAAATCTACAAAAGATAAAACTTTGAATGGACATGTGCAAAGTCACATTAAGTGTAAAAAAAAAAATCCACTTCTTTCATTTACAAACCAACCAGCAGGAAGAACATCAACACAAGAGAATGCTGGGAAAATAACCTGTGCATCAGTTGATGTTGGAATTTGAAATCTTTATAACCAGCGTCAGATGTTTCAGCTTGCTCACAGCGACGCAGTGGAAGACGTTGGTCCAATCTGTGGTAGAGTCACTCCTCACTCAGTATAATATATAATATATAATATATAATATATATAACGTAAACTAATGAGTGTAAAACAGAGTGATTCTTGAATGGGGTCTGGTGATATTGAGGTTATTAGTGAGTTCACAAACTCTTTAGAGTCCCTGACCACCTCAGGAAGAGGTCTGAGTGATCACAGTGAGTCTCTGTGGTGGTCTCTGGAAGGTAACTGAAATGTTAAAATATGAAAACCTCCATTTCACTGCTGCAGACTACAGTACAGGAGGTCAAAGGTCAACCATAAGCAAGGATGGCGGCTTATTTAAATAGTGGGAGGGCTGAACAGGAAGTCTCTCATCATTGCAGCAGGAAGTGGACCTCCAGCACCGGACGCAGATCTCTGTAGACCTCCTGGAGTTTAACAGGTTAATCTGTTTGTTCACTCACAGGAAATAACAGACTGTCAAAATAAAATCCACTGATCAGGTGAGTCTCAGGTGGTCTCA